TTGATAATAATTTTATAATTCCTCACACTGCTCAGAGGTAACAAAGAGGGCTGGATTAAGACTAAGAAGAAAAGTTTATAATTACATAAAATATACTTTTATGATCATTTTTTTATTAGCTAATATTGTTTCGAATCATTGACAAGGTTTATTAGAATTCATTTGAGTTTTTGAAAATTTTAATTATAAGTGCGTTAATTAATTGTACAACAAAAATGGCGTTGATAAAATTTAATATGATGTTTTTCTATTCTATCTAGGTGTAGGAGAAAAGTTTGTTGTAAAAGTTCGCAGGGAAACTGTGTTTAATTTTCTAAAGTGAAGCCCGGATAATCGGAGTCCCCCATTCTTTTTTGCAATTGCTGCGTGGTGAGCACTGTAGAGAACAGTTGCTAGTAATTTAATATAAAACTGCTTCCTAAACGGAGGTGGAGTTGAAGGGCAAGGCATCATTAGAAGAACCAGGCAGTAATTCAAAACCATAGCCGATCCTCTGTGATGTCACACCATTAGCCTGCTCTCTGGGTCGAGACCTCAAAGGAGAAATCCTGAGGACATGAAAGCGGGAGGGTTCCGCTTGGCTTCTTGTGCTGCAGATGGTGCCATTCATAACAAGATATTCCATGATGTTTCCTCGCGTTGCCGCTGGACAAACAATGCTTAGTTCTCAGGCGATGCGGTCTTACTAAATTAACTTCTTAAATGTCGAAATTCTCGTGATTGATTACATGTAACCCGGAAACAATCCGGCCTTAGAAAACGTGATTCATTTTAATACAAACACCTTCGGTCCCAAATGTAATAAAAAATACAGCCCAAATGGGGGTTAGTTTGTGGTAACGCAATGACTCATGACTTTGACCATATGAGACGAGTCCCTTAGTTTAAAATGCCCCTATCGTCTCCAACAATATTTTGAATGGTCCCGTATCTTTATAATCCGGTACAAGCATAAAACAACTTAAAAACTTACAAATCTGTATAAAAAACATGCCTCAGAATAAACAATTTTATCACTTAAGTGCTAATTTTACTTGGCATTTCATCATTTCATCATATATTTACTTATCTGCTCTATATTTTTATTTTCAAAATAAAATTAGTTTAAATTAAAATATTTCTCAGTAGCACAAGCATATTAACAACTCCCACAATGATATAGGTATCAGTGGTGTCTAAGAATGATCTTCTTTAATGGTGCAACTACTTTAGAAAATTTATTTAACTCATCTGCAAATTTGTAAAACTATATTTCTGAGTATGATTCGAGCAAAATATGAACATAATATTAAGATAATAAAGCCCCTTTGTATTACACGTTTTAATTTTCTTGGAACAGAGCTTCTGATAAAGGAATGAACTCTATGCTAATTTCTAAATTTTTAGAAATCAGTTTTCTTTAAAATTTCCTATACTTAATTTACGAATTTCGGATGAGCAATTAATTCATGAATACTAAGTTTTCACGAGCATTTAGCTTGAATGTAAGCAAGTTGACATATTCCTAATCAATTTTGTAGAACTAACAACAAAAGAATAAAACTGTAATCCCTACCATCAAACCAAATTTCCAGAATACAATTAATTTTTTTTTTGTCCACAATTTTCTCACCTTTGAGGCTATATCCACTGGATATTGAGGATATTCACTGGGACCAGGGGAGAGGGTGGGGGTATTAATGCCAGAATTAAAAGTACCCTCGACCGGGATGCGAACTCGTAATTATTTTATCATGTAAACTTCGATTTATCATGTTGTCGGGCAACTCGTATTTTGTATATGCACTAGCCCGCTCGGCCATTCCGCCCCCTACAAATAGTTGATCGATTTTACTGCTATTATTAATAGAATTGGTTTTCTCCGAATATGAGTATCCCTATCCAGTTAGGATGATTCAGTATCTTATCTCGGGCTGCCCCCGGGCGCAAACATGCCACGCCTTCTCTACCTCGAAGTGCTGGAGGTAAGCATTCGGTGCAGACCAGGAGCTACCACAGGATCCATTCAACCCAAAGGACTTACAGTTAGGAACAATTTTAAATTTTAGATAATCCATCATAGTCGTTGATTTATATATGAAATATTAAAAGGAATCGGCAAACTAATTGATGACCTGTATATTGAAGAAGAAGAAGAAAAAAAATAAATGTTTTCTTATTACAGTGTTTCAACTGCCTATCTCTCCCACAGTGCTACATATTATGCCCTGAAGAGGGTCGAAACGTTGGCAAAAAAATAAAATAATTACTATATTTTAATTTAGTATTTATTTGACCGCACCCCCCGATTAACTCCTTCTCATACAAAAAATAAATTTTATTCTGGGACTAAGTCCCTTAGAATAACTACAATGTACAATTAAATGACAATTATCTGGCATTAGGAATAAATTAAATTAAATGATTGTCTAAATCTAAGATTACAATAAAGAAAAGGTACTGTTAGATATATGAAATCATAGATAAACTCGGATGTGTTAGTTCACATATTAACAATGTGGGTGATATCTGTCAAATAACATTAAAGCAACCGACAGATCTGAAAAATGTGAACATTATTTCACACATATTCGGAAGATTGATTACTGAGAAGATGGATAGATAAGTTAAGTTTAAATGAGGTCAAGGATGATGATTTGCCTATGGAGGTTGGTAAGGAATTCCAAAACAAGGTAGCAAGCATGATAAAGGATTTTTTAAAGGAATCAGTTCTAGGAGAAGGAATAAACAGGTTTGTGGGCTGGTATCTCGTGTTGAACGAATGGACAGGAGAACAAGGAGTAAATAAATCAAGAATGTAAGAAGGGTTTTTGGTTGAAAAGGTTCGAAAAAGGAATACATCTAGGAAGTATGGCCGTTGAAAGACTGGATAGAGCCATTTCAACTCGGTATACCAACTGGAGACGTGGAAACGCCAGGGGACTCCAAAAATAAATCTAATGAAACAATTCATTAGTCTCTTTAATCTGATCTCAAGCCAACCAGACAGTCCACCGTATACAAGGCAGCCATAATCAAAATGACGGGAAATGAGTCAGAAAACTAGGAGCTGACGGATTTTAAGGGGCATGGAATCACGGAATCTTAGGAACTGTTTGAGGGTAGCAATGAATTTTCGGATTATTTGGGAAATATGATGATTATTCCAATATGATTATTCCAGGACAGATTCTGATAAAACATTATCCTAAGGTTTCTAACGGAAGTGTGGGAACGGATAGGTAGTCCTTTGAGGTAGAGTAGGGGATAATATGGAGTGGAATTAATTAGATGCTTGGAACCCAAGAGAATGGCTTTGGTCTTTTCAACATTCTATTTTAAATCGTTGCTCACTGCCCAAGTTTAGATAATATCAATATCTTTTTGAAGCCTTTGGATTGCCTAAAGCTTCTTGGTAGGGTGAAAGGAAAGGTAGATTTGGAGATCTTCAGCATATAAGTGGTATTGTGAATGATAGATGGAATCAGGAAGGTCGTTGATAAAGAAAAGAAAAGAGATAAAGAAAAGAGTTGAGGAGAGTGAAGATCCCTGAGGAACATCGCGGGTTAGTGAGAGGGGACAGGAAGGAGTTTCATTAGGTATGTTGACTGTTTGGTATCTTTGATACAAGAAGGAACGGAAAAATTTTAGAGCACTATTTGATATGGAATAGGTTTTGAGTTTGGAAAGGAGAATTTCATGATGGACTGAATCGCTTTTGAGAAATCAAAGAGGACCAGGGTAGTGATTTTCTGATTGTCTATTCAGAAATGAAGGTCTTGTGTAATTTTCAACAAACCAGACTGAGTGGAGAACTGGGATCGGAAACCAGACTGAAGGTGATTGAGGAGAGCTTTTTGTTCCAGGAAAGGTGTTAAGCTGTGCACGGGCTATTCTTTCAAGAGGTTTTGAAAGGTTGGAGAGAATAGAGATGGGTCTGAAATTGGAAACTTTGTTCAACGGGCGGATAATAACTTTTTTCCAGGCTGACGGGAAACTGGAATTTTGTAAGGAAAAATTGTAGATATGCAATAGGATAGGAAAGATGACCGAAAGACATAGTTTGATTAAATTTACAGGAATTAGTTCCGGGCCATAGTCATTTGTTCTGGATTTTAGGACAGAGAGAAGTAGGTCTTCTGATGAAAGAATTGCAAAATAGAAATTTTTAGGGTCAAAAGAAATATTCGGAATGCAGTATGAGATGGTACGTGGTAAAGAGTCAGGGTTGGTAAAGCGGGAATTCAGTGGATCGGAAGAAACAGGGTAGAATGTACAGGTTTTTGACTTTACTACGGAGAGATTTTTAAGGAGTTTCCATTTGGACTTAGGATCTGGGGCTTGGGATAAGGAATTATGAAAAAATAGTGCTTTAGCACGTCGCAAGGAATATTGTGTCCTAGGTTGTACATTAAAGGCCTGGCGAAGGTTTTTAAGAGTATTCCGTGATCGAAACTAAGTGCTGTTTCATCTTACGTAAACTGTCATAGGAACAACTTCCTAAACATTGAAAATATATAGCGGGAAATTTCTGAATTGGGCAGATAAAAGTAGTTATTCTCGGGCCATTTTTTTATAGAGTAAATAGAAAAAAAATTCCAGTCCTATGGTTTCTTCAAAAAGGCGGCAAGTAGACTTGAACTCAAAAGATAATTACAGCTTAGAATTTTAAATACTATAGATAGTTAAGTGTAATAAGCTATTTTAATCTAATTCAACCAGCGATAAAATCAAGACAAGGTTAAATATATTAAATCTATATTAATGAGGTAGGTTATATTAAATTTGTACTAACGAGAAAGATAGCAATAGCATAATTTGATTTTTAGTGTATTGCGGTAGTAAGTTTAATTACAATTAATTATCTAAATTCATGACATGTTTAAAATAATTTATATTAATCCACAAATAATAACTTTAACAAGTTGATATTGTGAGAGTGTAGCTCAGAATGCAATCGATTGCTATTCAAGTATGCCATGATAAGAATTCATAGAAAAAGCCATCGGTCATCTGCTGTTATAGGTTATGAAATGACTGTTTTACAGCTCGGCTTAAAAAAAAATTGCAGTTTGCGATCAGTGAATTCGTTGTTTGTTCGTTATTGTAGCGAATCATGTCGCCAATTTCCTACATTAAAGACTACAAATGCATCGAGCATGAAAAGGGGTAGCGGTGGCAGGTGCAGTTTCAACGGAATTGTAGCTACTTTGTTCGGCACATCTGGATTCCTGGGCAGGTATGTTTGCAATAAGTTGGGCAAATCTGGCACTCAGATGATACTTCCCTACCGGGGAGATTTTTACGGTATGCGTTTCTTAAAGGTCTGTGGAGATTTGGGCCAAATCATTTTTCGCCCATACCACTTATTCGATGAGAATTCTATACGTGAGGCAATGAAGTATTCCAACGTCGTTGTAAACATGGTCGGTAGAGAATGGGAGACAAAAAACTTCTCATTTGATTGTGTACATGCAAAAGGTCCCCAGATAATTGCACGGTTAGCAAAAGAATGTGGTGTCCAAACTTTTATCCACGTTTCTGCCCTAAATGCTAGTCCTAATCCGAAAGAGTATATGTTGAAAGGAGGATCGAATTTCTTGAAAAGCAAGTACCTCGGTGAGGAATTGGTCAGAGAGGAGTTTCCTGAAGCAATAATATTCCGACCTTCCGATATATACGGACAAGAAGACAGATTTCTGAGGTACTATTGCAGCTTCGGGCGTCATATGGGAAAGTGGATGCCACTGTATAAAAAAGGGGAACAGACAGAGAAGCAACCGGTTTATGTACAAGATGTTGCAGATGGAATTGTAGCAGCTTGTATTGATAAAAATGCGAGAGGTAAAACATACCAAGCAGTTGGACCATCCAGGTACTTACTTTCCGAGTTGCTAGATTGGTTTCATAGGATCATGAACAAAACCGAAGCTTGGGGTTATAGAAGATATTCAATGGAAAAAGACCCTTTTTTCAAGATGATAATTACGTACCTACCATATTGTACCTTGGGTTGGCCAATTGGAAACCTGCATTGGGAAAAAATTGAAAAAGAATGTCATTCAGATGAAGTAAAAGATGATTTACCGACCCTGAAGGACTTGGGTGTGAAATTGACACACATGGAGGATCAGGTGCCATGGGAAGTGCGGTATTACAAGCTGCACTTAGCGCAAGAATTAGATATAAGAGAATTTGAAGTACCGCATCCGCCTCGAACTATTTCTACCGAATGATTGTACTTAGAGGTGTTGTAGTGGTGAAAGGCCATCCACATTATGAATATTTTCTACCACACAAAAATATTCATTGAGCTTTACAGCTTAAAGTGTGGAACAGTTACAGGTCTTATCTTAATATTATACAAGACTGAAGCATGTTGTTCGTTTATATCACTCAATTGTAAAATGCCACATCTAGGTGTTTAAAATATCATTAGAGAAGAATAAATGATTATAAAAAATTAAGTTAACTTATTAATAAAATTATATTTGAAAAAAATAAATAAATATCTGGTACAGCTAACATTACACAATATTAACTTGTGGGGAACCAACGCACATTACATATGTTTTTGAGTAACCTCAAATCAAAGCTAAATGATACTTAAAACAGTCTATCGAAGGTAAGCAATGAAAACCTCTTACAACATTCTACTAATACCACATAACACCATTCTTGGAGCTTTACACACAAAGATAGATTAGAATAGTACTTGTACATTTCTAATTTATAAATAAGTATTGTACTACTTCTAAAAACTATAGGAACTTCATAGATAACGCTTTATCATTGAATGTATTTATAAATTTGTTACGATCTGCCAGATTGAAGAGCAATAAGTATTAAGGGTAAAAATGTTCATTCATACCATGTAAAAATAAAATTAATGAATTAAAAAAGTATTCCCGTTAAGTCAAAAATAAAAATCTTATTTTCAATATTTTTTTTCAATTTCGAATTTTCAATACCCGATCCAAGATATCCTTTTCTGTTACAAATTGTAACGACTTCCCGTATTCAAAATTAAATGTAACTCATTTTGCGTATGAATTCCCTTATGTCAAAAGCTCTCCACTTAATATTGAACTATTCAAATCTATTATTAACTATTAAATCAAACTATTAAAAGGATAAAGGTTAGTTTAAAAAGTTGTTTAAGGTTAATATTTTTACCATATGTTTTTTCAACCTTTAACTTTGCTTGAAATATTTTCAGAGTAGTAATTAATATAGTTTTTAAACTATCCCAGAACAACAGTTCATATTTTAAATTCATCCATCATAAATGTTATATGAAAATAATAGCAATACTAGAAGATATTAGCTCTCAAAGTTAAGGATGTAAACATAGAAAAATATAGTTTAGATACATTCTTAATATATATATATATATTGGCCCTCTGTACATTTAATCTTCAAAAAGTTGGGTAAATATAGAATAAATATCGAAATATAAATAAAAAATATCGCTATCTCGCGCCTAGATGCTCTTGATCATTATAAGAAAACAGTGTTAACAGTGAATATTTAATTTCCTTGATGTCGAAGGGTGGATAACATTTTTTCTAGTATAGTGCGCTAACCACTCTGCTATTCCGGCCCCGCTATACTAGTAAATCAAAGATGATAGGATCGAATCCCGGCCCTACTTCCCAATATGGCTGGTCCCCGCGGGAAGTTAGACCATTACCCTCTTAATTAAGGGCAGCCTACAGATACAATACTTGTAAGAACAGGCTACACAAAAAAAAAATTAAATGAAAACAAAACAAAATTTCAAACACGTCCTTTGATGAGAAAAACATCTGCTCCTAATTTGTTTACTTAAGACATCTATTTTTACTTTCAGTTATCTATATATGTAATATATACTGAGGGAAAGTATTGCAATCGTAAAAATTTTCGAATCTGAGTTTTCAACGGAACTTTTGAAGTCCACGGAGCCCAAATAACCAAGTTCCGAAAAATGGTCTGTGTGTATGATATCAGTACAGCCAAAAAACGAAAAGTTGTACAAAAGTGAAATTGCATAGTTATTGTTTGTATATACATGAGATAATACAGAAACTGTTTTGTTAAAATCGGCTAACCGATAGGGGCACTTTATATCATCGATGTAACACATTTTTACGATTTTCTCATAAACGGCTCAAACGATTTTGGTTAAACTCGGTGTATCATGTATACTTAAGTAATCCTTAATATAATTTAGGTATTATCTCTGTTGATGTCACTCAACTGGACTTAAATGCCCAATGTTTAAAGTGTCTTCGTACCTTTAAAATACCTTTAATTTTATTTATTTTAAATAATTAACTATCTCTCCATGTTAGGAGTTATGAAAAGGCTAAATATAAGTTTAGAAAGAATTTTATTATTGAATAAAGATGAAAAAAAAAAATGATTATCCAGATTGAAAATGAACTCCGCAAATAATTGTACGAAAGTATACGTATAATATATGGTTGGAAAGCGCAGAATTTTAGATAAAAATAAAGAAATTAGTAGAAGGTAATAAAGAGTGACCAAAAAATAAAAAGAATAATTTGTGAAAACTAATATTATTATCGGAAATCACATATTTTAAAGGAAATTAAATGCAAACTTTAAAAAAAAAAATAAGTTTGAAATATTATTTAAAATCCATCTAATCAAGGCAATGGCATACTTTAAAAAACTATTTCATAGTACTTGTGTGAAAGAAAAAGTGAAATATAAAAATATTTCATGGATGTATAAAGTAGACTTTGGCAGAATTTATTTGAAATATTATTTCCAAAATAAATCGTTAAATAACCTTCCTCAGTTATTTCGAAATAATTTATTTCATGAAATAACATGAGCATTTTTTCAGGATTAATGGCATAATTATTTCAGAAATGATTGTTTTAGAAATAATGTTCTGAAATAATCATTCTGATAGATGCAAAAGAGAATGAAATAACCATAATAAAAATCCTATTGTTCACTGTAAATTTAGTTTTCGTTTATGCCCCAGGTTTGTTTTCTTCAATTATGACTAGAGGCATATTTTTACTGCTGTTTGAGACACCTAAGTGTCTATAGAGGCTGAGTGTGCCCGACAGAAATTTCATTATGTCTTACTAAATGTATTTTTTTAAAAAGTGTATACTTATATTTTACCACTGTACATGGTTTTAAGTTGCTTGGCATGGTTTCAAGTGTTTTGTATAGAGATTTTTTTATATTTTGTACATAGCATGTTTAACTTATATTTTCTTTACTTTTTTTTTCTTTATTTTTACTTTTTATGTTGTTTTTTTTTTACTTAGGCCAGATATAATACTTTAATTTTGTATGATCCTGCAATTAGACAGACGGGACATTATATTTACTGCTGTTCAAGAGACATTTTAGTCTCTATAGTGGCTGAGTGTGCCCAACAGAAATGTAATTTTTTTCTTAATCATAATTTTTATTAATATCAACATAAAATATCGTGTTTTGAAGCATAAATCGTACACAAAAATAACGAAATCGACTAATGTAAAATCAAACAATAGCGCAAATGATTAAGCCTACAAGCATTATTACTGGTAATTAGAGCATCATTTATTACTTCTTTGCCTTAATAAAGTAAATAATCAAATAATATTCTCCATTAATAAATTCTAAATAATCACTTTTATATCCTTTCATACGTTTCCATTACCTTGTGCAAGAAGCTCTCGATGATCTGAATTTGCTGAATTCTGGAGATGTCCCTTCGCCTCCTCTTCTTACCCGTGAGTACCCCGATCTGCAAGAGGATGGGGTTGGAGGCGGCGACAGCTGCTGCACCCAAGAGGGCCACGCCTGCCAGCGGGATCAGCAGAGCCTTCACCGCCGCGTCGTTGATGTACGACACGTCGTGGTGATGATGATGATAGCCGTCACCTGGTCAAAGAACCTTGATGTGAGGGTCGTACACAACTTGGAAATAGACTATAGTCGTATCAATTCTGTAGAAATCTTAGTTATACATAAACCTGATCTCTGCCACCATGGAAGGAAACAATAGCATGCTAAGTAAAAATATTTGGAACATTAAAAACTTAGACTAGAGCAATACAAACACATTGCATCCACTCTTCGGCATGTAACTTGTCTCCAATTTATCAAGATAATGAACAGCTGCGTAAGATTTGTAATTGGTGCCCCGAGATACTTCCAAGTGTCTTACCGCTACACTAAGTTAGAGTGGCTCTTCCCCTCCTTTCCTCTATCAAATCATCAACAATCATCGTCCTTCTTACGCCTACTACCTTCTCCAATTCAAGTCCTCAGTCTACTCCCTTTTCACAAAATCTCGACCTTCCGACCTTTACATTCCTTCTCACAGATCTGCCTCGTTCCAAAACTCGTTTATTGCTTGTTAATTTCTGGAATTCCCTTCCTATCAAAATTCGGCATTTTCTCTCCCTATCTACATTTAAAATCCTCTTATTCCAATTTCTATCCCAAAAACAGTCAGACATCCCCCGCTAATCTTCTATGTAAATTTACACATTATTCAAAATGATTCACATAATGATATATTTACATATTATTCATCACTTAAATACTTACTATCAGATTCGTCTTCTATTCCGTTTCTTTTTTTTAATGCAGAAACACAGAGTTTATTCCTAAGAAGACACTTTTTTTAAAAGTGTATACCTATATTTTACCACTGTACATAGTTTTAAGTGTCTTGGCATTTTGTACATAGTATGTTTAACTAATATTTTCTTTACTTTTTTTTTCTTATTTCTACTTTTTATGTTTGTTTTTACTTAGGCCAGATATAATACTTTAATTTTGTACTTTTTTTGTTATTCTAAAGGGATTTCGTCCCAGAATAAAATTATTTTCTATTCTATTCTATTCTATAATGTTCGAAATTTGGGGACGGATGCAATAGACCACGTCGGCATGACGTTTTACAGAGGGATGTCATGGAGTTTGTACATCAATAGAATCCAGAAACATTAAAAAGAACTTCTGTAAATTTATTTAGAAGACAGTACGAAAGGAGCTGAATGAGCTATCTCGCCTAATTATAATTCGTGACATGAAGACAGGAAGAAGTATTGCTGTCTCTCACGCCCATCATACTATGCTATAATATGATGTGACGGACATAATTGATTGCTTTGGAAGCGATAACATTAAATTGGTCATGAAAACGTTGTATTAGGCTGTCTGAAACCGAATTGCCTTTTAGTCAAAGGCTTAGGCGTACAAAAAAAATCTGATATTCAATTACATCAATTTAGTTTAATAATCCAATAAAACTTTGTTGATGTTACTTCTTTCTTCAACCGTTGTACATTGGGGCAGTATGACCTAAATTAGTAGCATAGATTATTAAAACGAATTTTTACAACATATGATCACTTAAATAATCGTCACTGTGGGTCATATCGAGGAATTGACTTTGGATAGAGGCGCAGAAAAAAAAAATGTCTTGCAACACACAATTTTCACTTACCGCTCTACTTTGAATGGAAATTATTTTCGGCAATGGTGTATTATACAATTTTTGAAGTGCATTTTCACCTGAGCTAAGGCTTAAAGCTTACAGCTAAAAAATCATTAATAACATTAAAATAACAAAAATTCTGTTTATTATATCAACGGTGGTGAATTGTACGATCCGTTGATTTTGGATTGTACGATTACTACTTATTAAAATGTTATTTTCCTTTGTAATATTTACTAAAATGGAATTACGAGAT